TGTGTTCTTACTAATGAAAATAAACCTGGAGTTGTGTTCCTTGGTCTGTTGACATTTACAGTTGTGAAGTCTGAGCCAGGCTGGGAGTTTCTGCTTATGAGTAGGTGACACTTGGATGCAGCAGATACAGACCACAGTGAAGCACAACCTGAATTCCAAACCTGGGGCAGAAATCAGGGGGGCAGTAGTTGTGGTGCTGCCCATCTCCTTCTGGCCCCACTGAAGGGCTTTGCTGCTCCAGCAGCTTTGCACCCCCTGGGATGCAGCTTTTCCTGCCTGAGAGACTACCATGACTTGCTCTACCATGGTTACAAAGTTTCGATAATTTAGCAAACATTATTTAGGAAATTGTGATGAGGAGAAGAAATAGCTGCTGTAAAACACACTGCATATGTAAATGGCAGCAATGCAGCTGAGACCCCTCTTTGAACTTAAACTGACTTTGGAGCATCAGGATTTTGGTCAGTTGCTTGGAGCACTCAGTGTTTCAGTGACATACTGGGGAGGAAGTCATCCTCCACATGCTTCTGGCTGAAGGTATTTCTACCCCTCTCCTTATATATGGGACTTGCAGAAGAGCAAAAACTTAATTGTTCCTTCTCATTTAGTTGTATTGTAATTGTTTTTTTTTTCCTAAATATAAATAGATATGTAATACCAGAAAGCTTAACTTGGGTAAAATGTCGGAAAAGGAGGGGGAAAAGGAAAGATTTCACAAGCTAAAAGAAGTGCAAAAATATTTGTGCAGTATTTTAGTCTTTTTTTTTTTCCTTTTGGCTTTGTTTGTCTTGCAGCATTAGCAGGATAGGCCCTACTGATTTTGCTGGCATGTATTTGTAACCCAAGAATGCTTTTTGGCAAAATTAGAAACAAATTTCATGTGTTCTGCAGTGCCCTCCAGTGCTATAAAGGACAGGAACAGAATCTGTGGCTTTGTCAAGACGACTCCAGGAAACCACAAAGAAACAGAGATTAGAAAGAAAATCGGGGAAAATAATAAATAAAGAGGAAACACCCCTGTAGCAGATGCTGCACAGCTTGGGAGGGGAGCACAGCCTGAAGCTCCCCACCACGCTGACAGAAGCAAACAATGGAGCCCTCGATGCGACAGGAAACAAGGACTTGTGGCTCCGGGTTGGTTTCACATAAGTGGTTCCAGGATTTCGAGGTGAGATGACGGTCCAAAATGTACCTGTCTGTTTTCAGGTGTGTGGATAAACAACATGCCGCTCCTCTCCCCCCAGCAGGATGGGAATGCTGTATGCTCAGTCCATCAAATTAAACACAGGCAGGTTTTCATTTCCAAGCCTGTGTGTTTGGAGATGATGGATGGTGAGATATATGTCTCTATAATGAAGGTTTCATTATGAATTTTTTTAGATGTCAACATGGCTCTTCATTTCCAACCAAGAAGTGCCATCCTCTTCCTTGTAGCTCCTAGGTTCAACACGTGTGATATTGCCAAAGGAAATGATCAAATAATCTCTGAATACATTGATTTAATATATAGTTATATTTACTCCGGTTTTACTGCAAAGCTTCAGGAGACCTGAATGACATAATAAACTGTATAAATAAAAATATGGAGGAGTAATGTATAGGGAGATTAGAGAGAAATGATCAGTGGGATCATTTGGTTGCAAGCAGTCAAGAAGATTTAACTGGCTTGTCTCTGTCTTGTTGATGTCCAGTTGTCCATTGCTTACTAAGAGCCAAGTGATCAAAAATGTCCTGATTGGAACAGTTACAGAAAGGAAGTTTGAGTAAATCATGTTTAGAAGCCATTCATCATTGAAAACAAGCAAACAAAACCCTTGAACTCTTCATGCACTCCGTAACGGAGTTTTCCCAGTCACAATTAAAATACCTTGTAATGTATGCATCTGATAGTGGCTGATGAGCAGCAACACTCAGTGTGCCTCACATATGGACTGCAAGTTATATCATCTCCATTTTTAATGTTAGCCAGATCCTCGTATATGTTTGGGTTGATGGAGAGTCACAGGAAACCTGTTATAAAGGGGTTTAAGCCAAAATGTTCTGCCAGGAAACCTGACACTCATCTGTGGAACTGGTCATGTGTGGAAAAGATTCATCTGTATTTCAGGGAAACAAGGCCCTGTGAAATACCTACAGTCTAAATGACAGGCTATTGCGCATGAGTGAGAACTGGCTGAGACCACGATGCTGATGGAGCAGCAATGTTGTTGTTGTCATCTAGGGGAGGTGCACAGGCAGAGCTGGCAATGTGGGAAAAGGGAACCTCTGTAAAACTGCCCAACGATTTTCCTGCAATGACCAAGCAGATTTGATGTTAAATGTTTTTTGCCTTTCCTTCTCTTCACACTCTCCCAAGGGATTTTTTATTTACTCCAGTACGCACATAAAGTGCACAATATAAAAGAGTTCACATCTCCTTAAACCTCTGTCTCTGCCACTGTGAGCATGGACTCATGCAAGCAAGACTTCAGTGACCCAGTTTTGTGTGGCATCAAAATGTGAAAGCTCAAACAGCATTTTGTGATTTTTCTGGTAATACTGTGTGCAGCCTTTAGTGCCATTACCCTGGAGCTGGCCGAGTTCTAGGAAAGAGGGAGAGTTCTAGGAAAAACCCAGCAGCACCACTTTGCTCTGCCCTGCAGTGCTGCCCCCATTAAAAATGCATTATGCATGAGCTCAGAGAGGATAAATTAAACCACCCACACAGATTTAGGATGTGCATTTGAGTTGTATCCAGCTGGTGGTGAGATGGGCTTTACTGAGGTGAGTACATGTTGCGAGTGTATAATGCTACCCTTGTGCCCACAGTCACTTGCACTTTGGTGGAGCCTCAGTCCCACCCATCCAAACTGGATCCTGTGGCAGAGTTTCCCATGTTGCTTTCTTGTGAACTTTCCCTTCTTTACCCATCAGTGGGTGCACTGATGAATTTTTGTGATGGCAAGACTTCTCTGCAATGCTTCAAGCAAAGGTCAGTGAAGGAACAGGCCCCTCAGAAGAGTCTGACAACAGCCCCTGTCTGACCTGCACATAAACCTTTCGCAGCTGCAGCCCGCTCCTTGCTCAAGTACTAAATTGACAGAAGTCATCTCAATATCCTCATCTGAATTTGCCTGAGTTACTTGTTTACTCTGTGAGATTTTCTCCACTTGTCTTACCCTAGGATGTCAGGATCCAAGTATTTGATACTGATCTTACAGACGTTTGGTTTTTTTTGCTTTCTTTGAAAGTTGGCTAAATGCAGCTTGTCATCCCCCCCTTTTTTTGAGAAGCAGTATACTGCACCGCTGTCGCAAGGACAACACGTCAGAGCTTCTTCCACTGCTGTAGCAGCATCCTACCCAACCGCCAAAAGAAAGTCTAACAATAATTAGAAGCCTGTAGACTAATAACAACAATTAGTCTATAATAATCAGGAGCTTGCAAGAGAGATCTGGCTTGACCGGTTCAGGAGGGGGAATTTCAGTATCAGACAAGACCTCTGGCTTTTGTGTCTGTCCCCAGCCAGGCCATGCAATCACATAGGTTACATGAAGTTTTACCATGTGATATGGGGAAGCTGCTGCCCAAGCAGTCGCACATGACCCAAGGAGTTGTACAGACACCATCAAGACTGTAATTGCTGGACTTAGTTTCTTTGCAGTGGGTAGCTCCAGTACACCTGTGAGTGCCCTTCCAACTCCTCGGTCACACACACATGCTCACTCCCAGTAGTGCTCCCTTCTCCTTCAGGATGACCCCAGGTTTCCCATAGCAGTCTCAGGTGTCCAGTTCCAGGAGAAATAATCTAATAATTGGCTGGTATAGCAGAAGGGGAAACTTGAGCTGGATGCTTCTGGAGAAGGCCCCAAACAAAGAAATCACTGGGCAGCCATACCCTTCCAATTTATGCTCTTCACATGTTTTTTTAGTCCAATGGTGGTTTTGGTCTAGGGTCTTCTAACACATTACTGGATTCTTTCTCCGTCTCCACACAGGCAAGCCATTAACTACTCGTATCTTGTTGAGCTGCAGCTTCTGCTGAGGGTTGTGGCCTCCTTATCTTCTGGTTTGCACATCTTGTGCACCTGCTTGCAGGCAGACCGTAGGAAGCTAAAAAAGTCCCAGACCTAGGATAAACACTACTTAGCAACACCTAAAACACCAGCATTTAGCATTCAGTTATCAGCATTCTTCTCAGACTAAAGATGAAACACAGCACTGCACCAAGTACATAGGAATTACTATGAAAATTATTTCTATTGCTGCTCAAAGTATAGCTAGTAAAAGTCCACATTTTGCAGCCTAAGACTTCAGCAAATGTAGCTACTAAGCAAGTAAAGCTAAGCAAGCAGTGAACTAAACCACACAGTATTGTAACTGTAAGTCACTCATTCTATTTAAAACTTATTTAAACTAAACAGCTGGTATCTCCCAACACCATGTTTGTCATAAAGAGCTGCAAATCCATTATGCAGATGAAGGTGGATCACCACTTCTTTAAGGGGGGTTAAAACCAAAAATATTATAAAGCTCTTTTATTTATTTATTTATTTATTTATTTATTTATTTTATTTCTTTATTTCTGTGTCCAGATGGGAGTTTTAGAAAAAGGTTTTAAAAAAAAAAATAAAAATCTCTGGAGTTTGGAATCCTAACAAAACAGGTAACACAACCCATGGTGGCCTATCAGAAACGTGACATTACGGTCATTTTATGAAATGTATATTTTTGAGCTCTGTGAAATGTATATTCTGTATTCAAGGTCTGATAAAGAGGATATTGACAGGTAGAGCCATAGGTGCTTCCAAGTCAGTAGTTACTTGTTTTTCTTGCACTAATAAGGATCCAGCAAGGTTTTAAAAGGAGAAATTTATCCCCTCATGTAAGGTACTGGTGGGTGGAGAATTCTACCTGAAATCACAGTGCTCAGGAGTTGGTAGGAATTCAAGCACTTTGGAAAATGAAACCTACTTTCCCTACCAAATGACCGGGAGATGATTATTCCTGTGTCCACGTGCTTGAAATAGACCTGGTTTATTTTATTTTTTCAAGACGTGTTTGAGTGCTGAATACTGTGTACTGAAAATGCAAAATTAACACTTGGAGCTTCTCGTAGTGGTCTGTTCCATCCTGGTTACTGTGATGCTGACAGTGTTGCTACTACCAGTGACAGCCCATCCATCAAGCCCAAAGTGTACCTTTGACTCGCTTCATTCTTCTGAAGAAAGCGAAGAAGAAAGCAGCTGGCTTAGAAATGCTGCAGTGCTCTAGCAGAGAGGTATTTCATGTTTGTAAAATAAAATTTGAATTAAGTCATTTTGAAGGAGGTAGCTTTCCCATTAAGGATGGCTGGTAGAATTTGGCTGCGTGTCCAGTGCATGCCTGGTATTTGGCTGTTGCCTGAAACTCCCTGTGCGCCTCTTGGGCTGCACTGCCAGAGACAGCAATTGAGACCTGCAGAAGTAAGCAGCTCCACACCTGAGACCAGGCAGAGCTGGGAGAAGCAGCAAATGCTTTCCTTTTGGATTTCAACCAGATTTTGCCTCAGCCCATCCTGTAGCAACTGACTGCAGATCCTTAGTGCTTTTCACCAAAAGAGCTTTGACAGTTTACGGACTGTCTTTTGGGAGTGTCTTTACATACCAACATTATTATTGTTGTTGTTATTGTGATTATTATTGTTATTATTACCACTTTCAGAAGAACTTCCCCTAGATGATCATTCCTCCATCAGTCCCCTTTTGCATCCCAGTAGAATATAAGAGATGGTTTTGGCTACAGCAGGAGTCCTCTGCCCCAAACAGAAACTGCAGTGGTTGGTGCTGTTAGTGAAAGCTTTGTATCTGTTCGTGTGTTCTAAGCACAGAGACTGTTGGCATTGCTTTCTATTAAGGCACTTTCCATTTCATGCCCAATATTCAGTCTATAGTGCAGCTGAACATCAGCTGTTTACTTGTCATTAGAAGACTGTGGGCAGCACTCTCCTGCCTTGCTGGCGATTGCAGTCTTCAGCATATGTCTGTGCAACACATCTAGGTGTACTTGTAACATGGGGTGGCTGCATGGATGAAAGGTACCTACTGCTGCCACAGAAGTGTGGTGACACAGATGAAGGGGAGATTAGTTATTAGCAGTGAAAACCTGGAGCTATGGGCTGCTGTTTGGGCAGATTAAAGCCAGCATGAGTGTGCCCAGCTGGACTACAGCTTGATGTCAGTGTGCCATGAAGATACCTTCTAGCCTCATAAGCTTTTTGGGCCTAAGTTCACCTTGTCTTAACTAACAGATAGGTGATGGGCTGGAGGCACAGAGAATGTTCTCATGGAAGAACTGAGCTTTTAACCAGCCAGCAGAGTCAGAGGTGAAGTCATGTCAAGTAGCCTCTGCCTGAAATTTCAGCAGGCGGATGTCGGATGTCACTACAGGCCTTAGGCTGTGTGTGTATGTCTTGAAACCACAAAAGCTTTAAAAATGTGCACATACTTCTTGAACATGTTCTTTCAACTCTACTCCTTGGTGTGAAGTAACATATACCTGTGGAGGAGGCCACTGGAAAATGTGCTTCCTGTTGCAAGGGAGTTGGTGTGATGCAGTGCAGAGCTGGGGTGGGGAGCTGTTGGTGTCAGCTGCTCCTCCCAAGGGAGATGGCTGTGGGACCAGCTGAGTCTTGCCAAAAATGCAGGTGAAAGCTCTCTGGGCACAGGGAAGAGCTGCAGTTGGTCATATCCAAACCTGGTGTTGGTGCTGTGGCTCTTCTCAACAAGACTCATCTTTAGCTTTGCACAGCTCAAAATTCTGCCCATGCTCTGCTCACCTGCTACTTCTAGTTAGTAAAGTTGGTATGTGATCAGTACTGAAGCTGTTCAACTGTTTTCTCTGACAGAAAGGAGATTTTCTCTCAGAACTTTTTAAAATCCTCCCAAAACCTCTGTTGGTGACTACAGTTCAGCAGAATTATTATTTTTTTATGTTTACTCTCATGAATAGTAATTTTGATTGTCACATTTTCTTTGGGAGTTTTTTGTTTCAAATGATAAATCTAAGTATTTAGCTGACTGAGAAGGAAGCATTCAGAACAAGCTTCATTAGCTTGTTCTGAAGAATGTAGCAGGACATGGGAACATCTTGGTCCCCAAATTTTAGCAAGACAGGCAGAACAGGCTGGTTATGGGAGGAAGGAGAAACTGAGTACCCTCTGCATTTGGTACATGGAAAAAGCAGCTCTAGGATGACAGTCCCTCTAGTAGTTTTCTGAAGAGAGCTTCAACTACATAAAACATTAATTTCCATTTTAGCTCAGAGATAGCAAATGTAAGATTACCTTGGGTTTTCTACAGCTCCTTGAGTTTTCAGATCTCCTTCCAGGGTCTCTTTGCTTTCCTTCTTTGTCTTGCTCTTCCTAGAATATGTCTGTGCTGGAAGTGGCAGAGCAGGGTAGAGGCACCCCAAAACCATTTCTGGGTCTGGCACTCAGTGATTTGATGTGCCTGAGGGATCACACACACGGTGTGCTGGCCCATGCCTCCTGCTGTGTTAGTGAGTGTCTGTTGTAGACTGGGTAGGAGAAGGGGATTCAAGTGTGCTAATCTTTATGCTGATCCCCAGTGAGCTGGCAAACAACCTTGCTCACTGTGTGTAAAATAGTGACCTAGTGCTGCTCTGGATTCATGTCTAAGGAGCCATGAATTGCCCTGCAGCAGATAGGATCCACGGGTGCAGTAAGCAACAGCGGCATATCACTGGCTGTCACTGTTACCTCCTAGTTAGTGGAGAACCCTCAGGTTTATTCACTGCTTCGCTCCCTGGGCTTTCATTTTATGCTCTTGCACAACTTACGTGATCAGTTAAAGTTGGCTGACACCTGGAGCCTTTAAAAGAAAAGAAGTTAGTGGTATTCCTGTTCTAGAGATGGATCCTGAACTCCTGACTCAGAAAACCCCTGCAGTGATTTCAAAGGCATGTTCTTCATGTGCTGCTGGAGCAGTCCCTACAGTACATTGACTGGTGTATGAGAGTTAAAGAAAAGCCCTTGACTATTAGTGTGTTCCGCTGTAATTGAGAATAATACCAGATGTTTCATTATGTATCAGCCGCTATAAAACTGCTTCTTTGAGCCACTGAACAAAGACAGTTGACAAAAGAAAAATTAATGTTGTGTCTTTGATCTCATGTTTTAAATTTGTCTTTTATAAATAGTGATGGGTTCTGGTTAAAAACACTCTAACAATTTGTTAAATATGCAAATGTCTGAAGTTTCTTAGCAACAGAACAAATAAGTGTTTCTCTTCTAATATAATATGTATGCTAGTTTAGTAAGCACACAATAAGTTAATTAGGCTGCGGTTAGGTATTATTTGTAAATGTCATATTAGCATGCTGTTTTGTTTCTTTGTTGCAACCAAAAGCCTCAAACTCACTGATGTCACTTATTGCATGTTGGTTTTCCCTCTAGTTTTGAAGCAAATGTATTTTTTAACATACTTGTGGGCAGAATAATGATTTATTAAGTTGCGTGTTTATTATTGTTTTGCTTGGTTGTAATGTGTCATTGTCTTTACATTGTTAGCAATGTGAGAGATTTTACAGGGGAATTCTAGGAAAGTACACATTACATGTGTAATAAAGCTGCTGCAGTTTACCATGATTAATGTTGTTACAATGAATACCAAATGAATTAATAATGATGGGCCCACTTAATTTTAAAATGTTGGCATTTGTCTAAATGCTGCTCTGAGAGAGGGTGGAGGAGCCTGGCACAGTAGGAGCTGGATAAAACAGCATTTTTGCTGCCAGCATCCAAGCAGCTTGTTTCTCTCCAAACAGTTATGGTCAATTGTCAACGTATTCAGTGCCAAGGAGGTCTATGTAAATCCAGACAACCTTTTCCTGTGATTGTAAAATTTCACTTTATAGTCTCATGTTTTCCCCCTTCTCTAACAAAGCTTTCTGCCAATAGTTGTTCTACTTCCATGGTCTTGCAGTAGCAGGTGGGGAGAAGTTTCAGTCCCATTGATATGTGGATAGATTCCACAACTCGTTAGAGTTGTAAGGTAGGTATGCTTTATTCAGTACTGAGGCGCATGGGGATTGCTCCTCCAAAAGCATGCACGCCCCCCTTTGGCACTCAGTTCTTTTATATTACATAGAATGATTACCTAAACATGAGATTGCTTCACACCTAATACATATGCAAAACCTATTCCTGTCTAGTATTATAATTAGTTTTCTGGCATTTGTCCCATTGGTTGCACCTGCGCAGTGCCTCCTGGTGGTGATCGTTAGGGGGTCGTGAGGATGAAGGCCTGTAGTTCCTCTTCATCACCGCGAGAAACCTCTTGCTTTCACGCAGACTCAATAGGGTTTCGGCTCCTATCCAAACTTCAGGTTCGGTACAAGCCGGTTTTATGTATCTTAAAGTAGAAACTTGTCAAGTTTGCAAATTTTGTTACTCTATCTTTTGTTCCTTTTCTTTCTAAAGATACTATTTAAACAAGAATGTCTTAAATGTTAAGTTATGAATCTGATCTACTACAATTCTGCCTAGCAGCTGTAACTCCTACAATTCTGCTTCACCGTTCTAGCAACTTTGACTCCTACGGTTCTGCTTCACCAAGCACAGCGACTGCTTAAGCAAGCAGGCACAATGTTAACCCTTTATTTCCCGGTATCACCATGTACCTCTGGGTTACTGGCAAAGGCAAGGGGTGAGCCAGCATATTCATCTTCATCAATCAACCAAGTAGGAATTTTCACTTCCTTGTGAAAATTTTGAAAGTTTGAACCATTCGGGTCAAATCGCAGTGCTAATCCAGGAATGCTTCCCCGACAATCCTGAAGCCTCTTAAGCTTCACTGCAGTGATTCTATAGTCCTTCATCAGTTGGGAGTAATTTTTTAAGTTTTTTGCCCTTATACTGGAAGGGCAGAATTGTGAATTGCTCATCAATACTCGAGGACAAACAGCCTTGACTCTGTGGGTGTGGTAACATTTCCATCCACATAGAGAGGGTTACTTTTGCTGTGTCTGAGCACTTGGAGATGGACTTCTATGCCCTGTGCATGGAGGCTCGTGAATTCCTACAACCAATTTTCAGGTGGCCAGCAGAAACTACCCATTTGATCTTTGCCATATGCCAGAGGGTGGAGACGATTCGTCCCTTTGAATTTTTATGAAACAAAGAAGCTTTGCTGCAAAAATAAAAAAGATGCCATGGGTTACTCCTGCCCAAATGTACCACCCCTAGTCTAGGAAGGTAAAGCGCAACAAGGTTGTTGCCATTACAGAAAGTGATGTTATACTGAGGTGAGCTGTGCTGAACTAGATGGACATTGTCCATTCTCCTCAGTTTTGAATTGCCTTGTTTCTCGCTGAATCATCTCATTTACACTAGTTTATAGTTTATTCAGCCATGTAAGCACTGCAAAATCATCAACAGGACATTCACCTCCTATTGGTGTGCGTAGACCAAGTATTATAAAATTGCAGACAGTTTTATGACGGTGAAAAGAGAAGTTCAGCAGAATTGGGATATGATTGTCATATTGATGGGAATGGAAAGAGTGGTTTGAAATCAGTGGCCACACGGAGGCATTGAGGTCACAGGAGTATTGACAGTGTTTTCCCTGTTAGTCTTTGTTGTGCACACAGGAATATGCTTCTGGAAAATGCCTGTAATGGTACAATTCTTTTAAAAATCGATTTAAACATAGACAGAAATCTGATAACTCCTAGGTGATAAGGACTCTTTACTTTGGAGCTGCACACTTATCCTCCAAAGTCTGTATTTTGTAGCATTTCTGGAAACCAGACATACTCTCTAATGAACCTTTTGATATTTTCAGCTCATTCTTGATACTGGTGCCATTCTGTGGCACTCACTGATAGAGTCGCATGGCACCATACCGGTCACTGTTGCAATATGCAGCACTGGTATGATCAGGGCTCCTTCTGTCCATCGCTGGACAATGCCAGTGCTATAGTTCTGCACTTGGACTTTCCTTCAGGCCCAGCACTGGAGCCCACCATGGGCTGTATCTCTCCAGACACCATTCCCAGCAGCTCCTCCCACATCACTGTGGTGTTTACTGGGGAGGCTGGTACCCCAAGGAATCACTGAGCTGCGTTGTGATAACAAGTAACTGGGGCCTCTGTTCTCTTTTTACTTTCAAGCACACACAAAAACATATCTTTCTCAAAGCTGTTGCTGGTCTACACTAGCAAAAATGATTTACACAAGTGTCTTAACCCAAGAGAAATTCTGGATTGTTCATCCCAAGTACCACTTCATGGAGTTTCTGTTGCTCACTGCGTACTGTGTTTACCCATGCTGAATGGGTGACGGTGTGGTTGGGTATAGCCGTAGCAACAGTATTATAACATTTGGATCTCTATCAGCTTGTGGCAAAATTAATTGCTGCAACATCCCTAGGGTTGAAGGTGATTGGATTTCTGGGTTTTGCAGAAATTTCATCACATCAGCAAAGTAACTGCATTATCCTCGGAGAAAATGTTACGAGCATCTGGATTGGCCACCTCTGTAATGCAGGATATAGATTTTGGATATATATTTTCACTGCATGCTGGGTGGCTTATTTTCTAGGAATCCTAGAGCACACTGAATGATGGACCTCCTTCACAGTAGTCTGTTCAATTTATTAATTATCTTAACCAGTCATTTTATCTAAAGCTTTTGATTTTGGATGAATCTGAAGCCTTCATTGCAGGTTGGTTGGTTTTCCCATCCCCAGGGACAATGGAAAGGCTATAGGTAGCAGTGTGCTCCTGCGTTTGCAAGGGTAACTCTGCAGATTTGGTACCTGCTCTTTGAGGGTGTGGGCACAGGCGGCTGCGGTACTGTCAGCCTTGGGCAGGATTGCAGGGGGGAGCTCTAGAATTATCTTGTGGCTTGGCAATAGTAAATAGCCTGAAGAAGTGAACAACACTCTCTGTTGTGTGGCCATTTTCAGCCACCTCACGAGAAAAGGAAGGAGGATGGGTGCACAAGATTGGGATGAGCCTGTGAGCAGCTCTCTGCCCCTGCATATGAATGAGCAGCACAGGACTGTACACGTTTGGTTAATGCCTTAAAATCCAGCTTAATGAAAAATCAAAGTTCCATAATAAACCACCCCCTCTTGATAATTTAATTAGAGGTAACCTGGGTGTCCCCCTCGACCGGAAACGCTTTGTGGTGGTTTTGGTAGTTCCGTCATTTAGGTCAGTATGGTTTCATTCTTTCCTTGTTAAGGCGGATGCCTGTCTCCGCCATTCTGTCTTCCTTTTCTTACTTGGACTATAGCGTCCTTGGCTGTAAGATCATCTCTGCCCTGTACTGAGGTGACACCAAATACGATATGGCTGTTGATTCCTGGCAAGGGCTCCTGTAGCTGGTAGAGGAGGGATCACAAGCAGGTGGAGAGTTTCCCAAAGTTCATGGGCTGTAGCAGTTTGCACAGGGAGGCTTTAAATAGAAAATGCTTTGCTTTTCTTAAGTCCATGCAAAACAAATCTAACTCCCCCTAAAGCATGGGGGATTTGTATTTACTTGGTCACAGAGGAGAGGAAGTTTTACTCACTGAATTCAAGTAAACACCCAGCAAGTGCTGTATATGCTAACTAAAAGATAATGTTAATGGGCTGGAACGTTGTCATAGGATTATGCTTTCCTGCTGCCACCAGAACGTTGGAGCACTTATCAAAATAACAGTTATGGACATGGAGCCGTAGTTAGATCCCAAGGCAAGTACCATGAACTGCAGGGCAGGGCACAATGGTGCCTTTGG